CTTTAATTTTAGCATTCTGGAGAAGAAAGAGGAAATTAGTTTAGCTAAACAAGTTTTTGTCTCTGTGATATTGCCTAAGAACAATTAGTCTCTCTCAGCTGTTTATAGAAATTCTTCAGCGTGATAACGCTAGCAATTTTGTAATACTCTGGTGGAGAGTATACAGCTGTGTTTGGATGTATGAATACGTAGAAATTAAACTTCTGGTTGGTGATAAAAGTCAGTCAGGATCTTTGGTCAGTACTTAAAGGAGATACAACCTATTAGAATAATAAATAGATCTAAAGTAGAAAATTATTAAGCATTTAAAAACATTAAAAGGCAATGGAAATAAATATTAAAAAACACAATCAAGAGGCAGAACCATAGAATATGAACCTGTCAGGACATGAATGTCCACAGGAGTGTCCCTTAAAAGATGTCATTACTTCTTACACATTTTTGCCAGTCAGTGCAAGCGTCCTATTCTTTTCTCTCGGTTAAGTAAGCCAAGCTACTATATGAGTTCCCTAGATCTGGGGATACCACTGAAAGGACTCTGCTGGCTGTGGAGGCCAAGCTAACCTGTGATCAAATTGGCCTCATTAGTACAACTTAATGAACTGAAGATATATGCAGGATAAGATGCCCCTTTCAGTGTAAAATTATATCTCTTCCAAGTGCTGACTGAAACTCCACAGCAAAACACGGCACCCAGATCATGAAATTCTCATCTGGCTGCTTTCTAACCATTTTATTGTACCATTTGCCTGTTGGGGATTCTTTCTACAGAAATGGCAGCAAAGCTGTTACCTGCTGCACTGCTAACGATATTACACAGCTCTTGTCCTTTGATATTTAGGTATTAAGAATGGAAACCTGCACGGGGAAAGTCTGTGGAGTTGACGTCCATGCCAGGAAATGTACATAATTGGGATTTCTGATTCTGTGCAAGCACGTGCAGAGTAGGAGGCAGGGAGCTTTTGCTCTGTAAACTCTTGTCTAAAGAAAACTCTGGTCAAAGAAACTGTAGCATTTTGATGTTCTGATATAATGGAGAACTCGCATTTATCATCTAAAATCTTGTTTCAAGAGACAGATGACATGAGGCTACTCCTTGAGGAGCCTGACTCCATATTTTATTAGTCATTTATGTGGTACTAATATTGACCTACATTATAGAACTGTTACATTGATTTCTGCAGTATTGCATATGAAGTCTATTATATGTACTGTTTAAAGTACCATTTCTTACATGAATAAGAATTGTAGATAAATTTGCTATTAGTATTATTGTTGCTATTACTGGTATTATTATTATTATTATTACAATTATTTCCATCAGATGTTGCCAGCCTGCATGGGATTTGCTAAGATACGCTTGCAAACGTCACTAAAATTACTGAGAATAACTAAACAAGTCTTTTTTACATATTTACCACCAAGACACACTTATTAGGAATTGCCTGTTACTCCCTCTGATTAAAACTGACATGTGGGGGGCAGGGGTGGGTATGCCTTGGAACACCCCATCTGCTGCCAGGTTAATCCACCTGGAATAGAGCATCCAGAAATATGTCCCCAGCTTCTTCTGGCTGGTTCAAGCTGTCTTCACAGCTGTGAATTGAGTTGTCTCACTGTCAGCCAAATTGTTGGTCTCACAGTGATATCTAAGTAAGAGAGCCAGCATAGTATAGTGGTTCAAGTGTTGGGCAAGGAGCAGGGAGATGGTTTTAGTCCTCCCTTGGGCACGGAAGTCAGCTTTGTGACCTCGGGCCACTCACTCTCTCTTAGTCCTAATCAGCTTTAGGCTCTGCAACAAGTCACCTGATAAACAAATTCCCTTGAGCATCGTGCATGGATAGCTTCACTGTAAGAACGAAGCAAATACAGTGCAAACACAAGCAGGCTCTGCAGCCACACAGGGCAAACTGTTACAAACAACAACGGTGATGTCTGATGTAGAAAGTAGTGTTCAAATAGGAAGTATGTTGTCTGTGCTGCACTTTTTGGAAGAGATTGTTTCCTATCATAGTAGAACTAAAGAAGGCTTCATGAGCGTGGCCATGATCTATAAGGGGACACATAGCTGAATGTGCATGTTTTTTCCAGATTGTGTTGCTTTCTGTGGAATGAGATGCATTCCATCTGAAGTATAATCCCAACTCATGTCATCCTTTAAATAGAAAAGAGAAATCCCTCTCAGTTAGTTCTCTGTCAGTATAACCCTTGAAGTTCCTAAGGAGCCCACCCCTTTGCAGCATAAAAGACAGTGCAGAGAAAAAATGACTTGGAGAACAAGTTCTTAGCAGCCACTGCCTTTCCTGTGTTTGTTTCCAGGAGAAGAAAAGCATATTAGGCTGATTGTTTCTATTCACTCTAACTCATATCTCTGCAGCCAACATCCAGACCTTAAATGTGTGGCCCATAATCCCCAAGGATTTGAATAGGCTAAAGAATGTGGTTCTTGGCATTTTTTAAATATAATTTCTTGCATACGCTCGAGATCTCCAAACTGTCTTGTAAATCTTGCAATGTGACCAGATGTAGAAGAGTATCGCTTTTCTATTAGGGCAGTGAGAATTTCAGGGCCACTGAAGGATGCCCTTGTGCTGGTGAAGGGAGCCATGATGGTGCTGAGCGTGCTGCAAAGGAGAGCCTGCTCCCACTGCAGCTTCAGTCTCACTCCATTCTTGCCTGCAGAATACAGACTCTGAGTGCCCTTTAATTACCCCTTTTGATAGAATAGAGCGCTATATTTTGACAGCATTACTGCTCTCTGAATTGCTGGTCCCTTTATGAATTTTATCAGCTGCTGGGTATCCTAGCGTAAAAGAGAAATTGGAACACAGCTTTCTATGTAAATAGTTTCTAAATACTGCATATTTAATGGCATGCAGTTCTTCTTTGGAATTATGAATTCAGTCCCTAATTTTTCATTGCCTGTTTAAAGGTTCTGGGTAGGAGGAGGGGTGATGTCTAAGATCTCCGGTGTTAGTACACATTCCTCTTTAGGGACTGAGAATATATTCCATGGTTCTCATAGATTCAGAGAATCAAGGCTGGAAGGAGGAATATTATAAGCTACCCATGTGACCTTTGGAAATGTAGTCCTTGAATTCAGCATATTTGTAGTGAGCTACTGAAAGATTGGGGAGTCCTTCTGGAGTTACAATTCCTGCTGGATTTGCAGGTGAAGGCCATGTCCAAGGGTCATTTTGCCCAGCTTTAGCTGCTTTGCCAGCTGTGGCCCTAGCTGGATCAGGAGACCCTGACGATGGTGATGTGCCCTCATTACAAGTAGACTGGACCACTGTAACGCTATTTGGAAATTGCACAGGTGGGTGAAAACAACTACAAACAGTATGGTAGGCACTGCATCGATTTCCAACAGGTACAATTCAAAGTATTGATTTTAATATACGTGGTGGAGCTCCCAGGTTTCTCCAGGACTGCCTCCTCCTCATGGGGCCAAGGCATTTATCTCTCTCATACCCAGTGAGGAACTTTTCCCCTTAAATGTGAGGCAAGAGAGGTGGAGAATCACAATAGTGTTTTTCCTTGCCTGCCCTACCTTGTGGAACTGCTTCTCCTCAGAGGCATGGTTGGCATTCACCAGAAGGCCACCAAAACAACTTTTTCAAAGGGCCTTCAAGGTGCCCATATTGGTTTATTGGTTGTTGGTTTATGTTACTGTTTTATCTTTGCAATTTTAGTTGCATCTGCTTATAAACCACTGTGAGTCAGTCTGATTCAACAGTATACAAATATAATAAATTAACTTAGTGAGCCACAGGCTTTTGCAAATCTTTGAACGTTAACCCCGTTCCTTCTCTCTCTCTCAGTTTAAATGTTATGAGAGTATACATTAAAATACAAGTATTTTGAAATACAATCATTTAAATGTGTATTAAATATCTGTTAAATATATATTTCAGTATGAATTCTGAAGAGTATATCTTTCAAAAAGGTATATGATGGATGTGGAAACATAATGGACCAGAATGATGTGGAAAAAAAAAATAGAAATGCCATGAAGTAGAAGTAGAAAGTCATCCATTCATAGGACAGCCATCCAAATCGGAGATAGAATTATTAATAGCATTTTTTCACTATTGTTCAGGCTCAGAAAAGAGGCTATTGGTTTTGGTTTTAAACTAGTCCCGTTGCAACCTGCTCTCATTCTTGCTATAATTAAAAAAGGGCAAATGATGAGTGAAAGCTAGCCCTTCAGGAATAAAGACAAAATTTGTTCTTTTATTTTAAACAATGCATGCTTTTTTTTTTTTACTTTAACTATGTAGAACATGTTTTGTGTGTCTAGCCATTATAGTTTGTAAAACATTTATATATTTAAACATTTTTATATTGCTTTCCTTTAAAAGAAATCTTGAGATAGCATACACTTAAAAGGTAGATTTTCAGTTAAAAGTAATAGGTTAAAACACAATATCCATTCAGTCATTTTATGAACATCGAATAGCCTTTCTGGCCTACAGAATAGTGCCCTTGAGCCCTAGCGCGCCCATCTCTCTCGCTGCACCACCACCAAACCTTGTGCTTTTGGAACCGATCATACTATCCAGGCAGCTATTTTGTGAATGGGCACGTTTCATGGCAAGCCTGCTCTCAAAACCTCTGGTGTTTCTACTGATACATTTCCAAATGAAATGTATACATGATACTGACCAAACGAGACACTGGGCATCTCTGGCTTAGCGTGATTCAACAGACTATGGCTTACAGCAAAGGCCAGAAGGAAAAGTGGTGGAGTTGCAGCTGCCTCTGTGGAATCTCCTGTCAACACACATCTCAGCGTGGTTCCTTCATCCCATCAGTAAAATCCAAGCACAAACTCAGCCCACTATAAGCTAGCCTCAAAAGATTCTCCAAAAGTTTTCACCAGGGGCCCATGGTACTATGAGTCCAGTAATATTTAGGAATCTTATTGGATAATCATGGTGAAAAATCTTCCAGGACCCTGCACTGTATTTATCACACCTTTTTCTTTTCATCTACAGGAGGAAGATATTGAATACTATGACTCCAAGGCTGATACAGAATATGTAAGTATCTTCCAAAAGTTGCCATCACTTTTGTTTTACACAGTAAATGATTTCCATATTAATCTCTGTAGGATTTTCTTTGCTACAGTTGTTCAAAGCTTATGTTCGTTTAATTGGCTCCAAAGTGAAATTATGCTTAAGGTGGTAAAAAGTATGTTTTGGAGCTGCAAACCTGCAGCATTTCTTCATCTATTGGTAATGGAAAGGAAGTTGTAAACATTTAACTACATTTCAACAAGCAGAAATTTCAAAGAACAGGAGTAGGAGAAAAAAATGCTCATCAGTCTTGGCAATTTGGGGTAGGTGTGTTGGAAAAGAGAACAAGAATATATATTTGTAAGTTTGTTACATTTTGAAATGGATTCACAATTTTATTTCATGGTTTAAATTCTCATTGCTTCCTTGCTTGGTTAGCTGAGTTTTTTTTTTTTTTTATCTCTCTCTCTCTTCTTTTATCGGTGTTTAGCTCAGAAGTGCTGAAATCTTCCCATGTAATCTTGTCAAAAATCATAACTTAAGAAAGTTATTTTCCAGGATAAGGAATGCTGAAGTAAGACAGATTTAAGCATGGAATAGCATAGTGAAACATTACATGAAGAAACAGTGCAGAGCAAGAACACAAATTTAAGATGCTGAAGCAAAACCATTTATCACTGTTATTTGATTGGAAATATATCCTGTCATTGTCACTTACAACAAATACTGAATTCATGCTGAAGTTACAGTCCTGCACGTGCATATCTGGGAGTAAGTCCGGTGGTACCTAAAGGGACTTGCTTCTGAGAATAAAAGCATAGAGCCACACTATGAAGCTCCAACATTTAAATAAATAAATAAATAAATAAATAAATAAATAAATAAATAAATAAATAAAGCCATGTATATAAAACTCAGATGAAGCAGTTAGCCAAAAAAAAACCCCACCCCTCTTTCCTTGTAATTAAATATAAATTTAGAAGCTAGTGAGTACTCGTCCATTCATTACTATAAGCTAGGTATATCTGTTTTCTGTCACCTTAAGTGCCAAAGAGATACTGCAGCGATATATTTGGTCTCCTGCAAGTGTTTGTCATGTGATTGTCTCATCTACCCTCTCTTGTCTGATTAAGCTACCCAAAACTGCTACCCATCAAGAAGAGATGGATCTTTATGCATGTCAGACATGGTTGATTAATTAGATCTTTTCACAAAGCATGTGACAAGTTATATTTATTGGGATACAGTGAAGCTGCAGTGATATATTACAAGCAGTCTTTGTACAGTATTTTGGTGGGATTCTTTACTTTTCTTTTTGTTTTTGTGCCTTCGAGTCAGTGTTGACTCTTGGTGGCTACCTGGACTAGTCCCTGCAGTTTTCTTGGCAAGATTTTTGGAAGTGGTTTGCCCTTGCCTGCTTCCTAGAGCTGAGAGAGAGTGACCAGCTCAAGGTCAGCTAGCTGGCTTTGTGCCTAAGGCAGGACTAGAACTCACAGTCCCCTGGTTTCTAGCCTGATGGATACTCAGTTGGAAGACTGCCCTAAAACGTGATAGGTGGCTCTAAAAAATTTGGTTCTGGAGGGCTGAGACAATAGCTGGCCCCACTCCATGTTCACTTCATGATACTGACAAGCTATCAGACAAAGACTGAAAAAGCCAGGTGCGCTTTGCTAGAGAAAGTCATTTTGCTTCCTGGGTAAGTTTCTAAAATTAAAGCTAGCATCTGAAATTCAAATGAAGAGCAAACATCTAATTAGAGACAGAATCTAATTCTCTACCCTCCTCCCAGCACAGCCATCCTGTAATTCTGGCAATCAGAATGTTAAGTATAAACTAGAGAGCTTCAGTTCCCCAAGGAAATAGGCCTTTTCTAGTTACCATATGCAGTATGAATACTTGGAGAGAATGCAGCTCAAAATGACTCCCAAGCATCCACTCCTGGCTTAACTCACTCCAGAACTGACTGCATTTGATTGACTGTAGAGTGTTTTTGGAACAGTTCAGATCTTTCTGGGCACAGAAAAAGAACTTGTATGCAAGCGCAGGAGCAGAGGCTGTTCGTTGCCAGACTGGTGAGAAGGTGCAAATCACTGATACCTCCATTTGAGAAAGCTGCTGTCCCTGAAGTTTCATAATATTAGTGGAAGACTAACAGGGGATTCCTACATAGTTTGTACGACTGGACTATAGAACTAACACTATTAATCCAGTTACGTGACTGTCAGGATAGAATTGGTATGAACTCTTCATGTAGAATTGATTCCTTCTAAGATTAGTTTCATTCGTGTTTTCATGAATGATAGCCAACTGAAAATGTGGAGTCCTAGACAGTGAAGAAAAGTTTAAAGAAAACAAAGTAGCAAAAATCTGAAGTTATCCTATAACCAGAGGAACATTATAGCAAGAGAAAAGTGACCAACATTCTAGTTGTCCCATTTGATAATTACAGACAAGGAACAGTTCTGAACACCAACCCAAACACAGACTGGAATTTGAATGGTCAGCCAATTTTCTTTGGAGCACAATGAGGCTAGAGGGCTGTAAAATAGATTCATATGTTCTCAGATTTCTATCAGAAAGAGTCAACAGTTGTAGGGAATTGATAATTGCAGCAATATAGAAGATTAATATTAAAGCAATTATCATGGACCAAATAGAATAAGTTTCATAATAGATTGGATGTTGTCTCTAAAACTGTTTCACAGGGATGCCTAAGGGAGTTAATTATTATGTTTCTTTCACACACACACAAAGGAAAATATAGGGAGGTGGAGATTAAACATGGGGATATGCATGTGAAAGGGTGGGAAAGAGACAAGGCAATCTTTTATCTGAACTCCTCTACTGAGTTCTTAAAATTTGACCACCAAAGCCTCCCAATTTTTACCATTCCTCTTATTCAAAACTCACCTGTGCAAGGGAATCTAACCATGTGTTCTAAGTCAGACACCTCCTTCCTCTGAAAACAGTCTCATCCTTTCTTTTCTGTTCTCATCCACTTTCTTCATTATGGAAGGATTTTTTTTCTCATTTGTGTTCAGCCTTGCTTGAATTCCTCAGCCAATGACTTTGCCTTTGGATGCAAAAGCTGTAGCATGCCAGACCAGAGCTGCTACTCCTGCTATTACTCCTGTTACTCTAATTTGCTTCCTCCATCCCTCTCTCCTTCCATCTATGTATGTGCACAAAGATGTGCATAATCATGAGTAGTGTAGAGCACATGGCAATAAATCTCTATCCTTGGCGTGCCTCTTCCCTTGCTGTTGAAAATTTATGGTGCTATAAAGGGCAGAAATGTAAGAGTTCCTAGAGAAACACTGCTTGCAGTTGATTGGTTTAATAATAAATGGATTTCTAAGGTCAGCCAGGATTATTGATATAATTTAGGCTTATTTCCTCTATAACAGTAGCTACTGTACTCTCTATAGCTAGCATCAGTCTGTATTTGAACTTCTGTTAGTATTTCTATTTACAATTTAATTCTCTCCCATCAACTCCTCTATCAGTGCTAAGTAGGGACTTCTGTGTTTCCTGCTGAGCATTGGCCCAGGCAGGAAAAAAGCAGATTTCCCTGCTAGCCTTCTATGAGCTTGACTCAGAGATTTCATTTCCTACTATTTTTCCTTAAAGCAACACTCATCTGGGAAGCTTATGCACCACTCCTCTAAAGTATAGCTGGAAAGATAACACTGATGGAGACCAAATAGTAAACAGCCATGTTTCCTAACATGCTCTAAGCCAGAGTTTTTCAAACTTTGTTCCGTAGAACCCTGGGGTTCTGCAAGAATTTAAAGGGGTTCTGTGAGAGTCTAAGGACAAAAAAACAAAAACAAAAATAACTCAAACACAACCAATTGTCAATCACTAGAGCAGTATTTCTCAACCTTGGCAACTTTAAGCTGTATGGACTTCAACTCCCAGAATTCCCCAGCCAGCATGGTGGCTAGGGAATTCTGGGAGTCGAAGTCCATAGAGCTTAAAGATGCCAAGGTTGAAAAGCACTGCACTATAGCTTTACCTCTTGATCAGGGCTTTCAGGAATTTAACCATGGTTTTGAAAGTGAGAGATATATTTTCTATTTTGTTGTGGTTGTGATTTCAAACTTCTGTAAATAAAATAAAATAAACTGTAAGATATAAAGAGCAGATGTAGATTGCAATGGTAGACACATAAGAACCACAGCACAGAATGAGTTTTGCAGAGTAGAAGGTCTTTATCGCATAATCCAGAAGTGACTCCAGACTTTCCTCCATTGGCAGGCCCTTGGTTTTCCTTGCTGCAGATGACAGTGACTCTAATGAATGCTAAAGGATGAACTCCCTAAATCTTTAAAATTAATCAAACCTCTGACAATCCATGAATAATAAATGCTACATAAGGGGAAAGAATAGCAAATTAGTTTCTGCTAGGGGAGATTCCAGTATATTTTTTAATTTATTTATGGTGGGAGGGAATCTTATGCCAACAAAGTCCAACACATGAAGAAAAGATGAGGATGGGGATGACATTGATGATGCAATTAGAAAGATATGGAATGGCATTCAGTGGAACTAAATATAAATGACCTAGCTCTTCCATTTTTGTTTGCATCCATTTTACAATTTAAATAGAGCATGATCACCCTCAAATGAAGTTAGTTCAGAGAGACAATGTTTATTCAGTAAAACTGATTTTATTCTAGAAGCTTATGTGAGATATAAATGTGGAGAGAAATAGAAATGAGATTCCTATTCACTGGACTGGTTTTTCATTCCATTGCCTTCTGATTATGAACTTCTTAAAAAGATTAATTTTTTAAAAAGTGATAAGGAGTTTGATTATTTGTACATGAGAACTCACATATTTTATATTTGTTTTAAAAATCCACTTTACTCATTCATCCAATAGAAAGGAGTTCAATGTTTATTCACAGAGAAGTGTTCAAATTAACTGACATTCTCTGCTGGACTCCCCTGAAAGAAGGGGAGAAAAATTAGAGTTCTTTTCCCCCAAAACCTTATTATTAGTTTAGGGTTGTAAGATC